AACTGTGATTTGTCAGTGAGAACAGGCGTATACTTTCTCTGTTAGTGTTAACACGTAAAGGTTATCGTCTGATTTCAAATGAGAGTCCAAGCATTAGGTTCTAATTTGAAGTGAGATTCTGACAAGGGGAATAAATGACAGGATTCCGATAATAATATGCAAATCAGAAATATAATAATGTATTTTTTCTTAAATTCCTGCAGAGGGCAGCAGAGCACAGAAGAGTGAACTTAATTTAGTCACATGGAAAAATCACGTAGCGGCAAAATTTTATTATTAGTTGTAAAGGCTTGCCTAGGCTTTTTTTTTTTTTTATTAATCCCTTTCACCTTCCTCTATATAGAGTCTCTGTAGTCCAAAGCTTGTACTGTGATTTTCATAGAATGTGAGCCATCACATAAAATATGTGAAGTGTCTTTGTTGCGTCAGCTCTAGTGGAAGACTATGATGATTATCAACTACAAAATATAGTTCAATTGGGGACGTTTTTTGGACAGCAAGTGCTGATTTTTCTTGTATCTTCACTTTCATAGCTTACTCCAATATTCCTGTTGCCAAAACTAGAATACCAAGCCTATTACGGTGTTGAAGCTCTTACAGAAAGTGAAGTATGTCAGTTGTGGACAGAGAGTATGTTGCATTCGGAATGCTTATTTTATATTGGTAAGTTCTTGTGTTGATTGTTGCTTAAGAAGTATGTATAAATTTTAATAACAGAAGAGAAAAATATTTATTAAAGGTATATTTCATATGTCCTGATTTATTTTAACTTTATAATTTTGGGTTTCACTTTTATCTTAAATAAGCGCTTTCGCTTTGTCTAAAATTTCTGCTGGGTGGTGAACGAGGATATTTCAACTTTGGTCTTAGAAGAATAGTATCCAGTAATCTTTGTTTTCCAAGAACTGCGTTTATTTGCCTTGCAAAGACAAATGTATCTGTAAGTGTGAGTTTAGTTCTCTGAAGCTGGTAATCTTCATGACTTAAAGTATCTTTGGTTTTTTGGGGTGGGAGGTGTTGTGTTTGTTTTTTTCTTAATGAGTCTTATACAACATGAATGATTATTATTGCAGGAGTAGTAGAAATATTTCTTGATGAAATGTGACCTATACATACATCTTATAATTCTCTGAAATAATGTTAAATAAATTTGTTATTATATACAAAAATAGAAGACAAACAGAGGATTAGGTATGTGGCCCAGAGGATCCTGATTCCTTGGCCTTTGAGCCTGCAGTATGAGAAAAGGTCAAATGTTACTTATTTTTCTTTGAAAACAGGCAATAATGTTCATATTTCTACACTGATAATGTGTAGACAGATAAGATGCAAGAGAATGAGGATAAACAAGCAAGATAGGGCTAAACCAAGTTCTGTCATTCAGAAATAAGAGAAATTACGTGCTTTGAAAACAATGTACATGTGCCTCATATCTAAGGTACTGGAAGTAATTTTCTGGCTTTGCAGAAATGAAATTCTGAACAGGAAGAAGAAAAATACGTAGCATAAGTTTATTGAAAACTTCTTTCCATGGCTCTGATATTCCTCAGGAGTTCTGAATGCTCGATGATCTTAAACACATTTTCCAGGTTTTCCATTGTCTGTATCTAACTGATCCATGAAATTTAGTTTCCTAATATGTGATATGACTTGAAACATCGCTGTCAGAAGGGTGGTCTTGATACTCCTTGTCCTGTATCGCGCAGCAAATGGAAACCGGAGATAATGTAATAGAATCTATGAATGAGAAGTAACATACGTTCAGTGAGAACGAAGCAGGAAACTACAATTGTAATCTCCTGTAGAAGAGATGACAGCTGTAGTGCTGAGCACAGAAAATAAAAAGACAATAAAGCAGAGATAAAAAGCATGGAAATGTTAGTAGAAAGTTATTTTACTTGTAAAGGCCATTTATCCAAAATCACGTAAACCAAGCACACTAGGAATGCAGCGTTATAAGGAAAGTTTCACTAACAAATATCCTGTAGAAAATGCTGTATTCATGTTTGTACCGTGACATTTTAAATGTCTGGAACATTTATGTCTATTATGTTCTGTAGAGAAATGAAAATTACACATGTAAAGAATGTGGCCACATTATTTTAACAACCCTTTTTAATATATGTAGAGGTCTCTGATACCAATTATCTTGTAATTAATAATGTTTTAAAAGGGAAAATCTGCAACAAACTGGATAGTCAAAATGTATTTTAGAACATGTTTGGCACTTGCTATGGAGTGAGGGCAGTCCTGTTTGTACAGTGAATGAATGTTCTGTAGTGGGGACTGCCTTGCTTTCCTGTTGTAGAAAAAATTCTCAGTTTTTTTATGGTTGTTATGGCAGCAGTTGTGGCCTGTGGTTGCCTAACCTTTCCACTCATGCACTGAATTACACTTTTGCTGTAGGTGGCTCGCATTTTAGAAATGCTGAGTTTTCTCTTTCCTAATTTTTACATAGAAACTTTGCACCCTATCATAGAATTATAAGGTTTATGTGAATTCTCATATATTTGAGGTGATAGTTTTGCTAATTGCATCTATCTTTGTCTGCTGTCCATATTTAATGGAAATTATGTTTCTAATTTTAAATTTTAAAGGCAGTATTTGCTGTGGGTTTTCCCTTCTCTAAAAAAAAATCCTCACAAAGAGATAATTATGCACACAGTTCTCCATTTCTAATTATATCTTAACGCAATGAAGCATTTCTTCTCTTTTTTTTTAACAAGCAGAACACTATACTGAATTGCATTGAAATTTAGCCCCCTGTAGAAAATTTTATCAGCATTTTTATTAGTATTTCCGGAGTCACAAGCAGTGTGGGGGAATAGTGAAACTGTAGAGAGGGCTAATCTGCTTACAAAGTACACAAACTTTGTGGAAGAATGTACGTCTATCTAATCTCCCATCAGTTACAGGATACTTAACATATGGCTTGTGCGCAGAAGTTTGCAGGCAGCTTGTCCAGCCAACACCCCTTTTTATAGAGGCCCTCAGCAGCGTAGGAGAAAGCAGGCTGTGCGCTGCAGGGGTTGTTCCGGCATGAACAGCCATCCACTTCTGATAGGCTCCTCAGTGTCTCCCTCACAGATACCTTTTGGCTGTGAAACAGCCATGGATTGCTGCCCATGAAACACACTTCAGCGGCCTGGCCTCTGACGTGCTCTCTCTGTTCATGTGCTTGGGAGAAAAAGTCCGTGGGATTGAGAAACACTGGTTATTCCAGTGATGCTTGTTTGTCAGCTCTTGGATGTGCTTCTTCCAGCTGCAAACCACGGGGTCTGCAGGGGTTTTGGTTTTGTGTGCTGTGAGGAAGCACAGGATTACTTAGGTTGTCACTGTCCTGCACAGTACATTAGCACTCCCAGCATGTGGGGCACGTTCCCACCCCTATTTAAAAAAAAAAAAAAGCGTGCTACAGATACAGAGATGGACTCTTAGCATGTCACCAACTTTTGATACTGACAGAATATGTGATTTATTCAAGTAGGCAAATTGAGGACTCTGGATTTTTTTTGGTACCATGTCATTTCTAACAGAGGTAGGTAAAAAGACATATGTGGAAGTACATGATCCATTTTATGAAAGAGCAACTTCCACAGCATTTAATAGGAAACTGTTACCGTATTCTACTTGGGGATTCTTTCTCCTCTTGTTGGAGAAATATTGCAAGGTAGCTGTGAAATTCTGCTTTTCAGTTGGTATTTCTGAGCGGCTGTGAGAACTACAGCATTGCAAGTATCCTGATTTAGACAGGCAGCTCTTTGCAACCGAAAGCTTTGTCCTGAAATTCTGGGGGCAATTCTCTAAGGGTGATAATGTCCTTGTGTTATGGACAACTGAAGATGAAGTGAATATCTCATTCATTTTCATTAATCTGATACCTGAAAGTAAGACTACTGCTATCTCGTGTGTGGTGTAAGCAGACAGACTCGATTTCTCAGATTGTGCAATAATTTGAATTATTTCAAGTGAAATATCATGTCCTATAATAAAGAAATTTTTTTAATCAACCATAGTAGAGCCATAGACTTAGTACTCTTTAAGTTTACCCCACAGCATGAGTGTGAAAATATGGAACAACTGTTTGAAAACTGTGATCTTACCATTATTAACACAGTACCTACAACATGCATTCTTGTTCAGACAGTTCTGAGACTATGCAGATCTGCTACATGATCAAAACTTCAAATTTAGAGGCTTCACTGATCTCAGTGTTAAATTGCTTAGGAGTTCTTGGATCTTGAAAAAACTTAATGCCCTGTCTCAACAATCTTTTATGTTGCCAAATAATTATGGATGGAAAGTTCTTTGGACCTTGGTCTGTGCCCCATAATTGTCTGGCATTGTTCTTCAGTGTTGTATCACCCCGCGTGGGTGAGGGAGGAATCTCATAGCGCAGCCAGCGCAGTAGCTCAGCAGTGCTGCCAGCTCAGGAGATGAGAAAGAAAACAGAAATGTGACTATGGCCTCCTGCAGAAATTGCAAGGTGTGATATTAAGTTGAATTTTTATTTTGTATGTTCTCAAAGAAGATAGCGATTGTTTGCACAAAAGCAGAGATAGTATCATCAAACAAACTTAGAGCGCTATCTTCCTCTTGCTAGTAGAGCACCTTGCTTGGTCATTAATTTAAGTCCCCTCGCTACTCAGGAAATCCTGCATCTGCAAAGGGAGTAATCTCTGTAACATGTTTCCCAAATAAGATACTTGTACTTGATCTAAGCAGGAAATAAAGTTGTGATAAGCTTTACTGATTAATGGGGACATTTTACCCCAACCATTATTCACTTGCATTAAGTGCCTAAGCAAAACTTACTGCAAAAAGAATAGTTTACCTTCACCTGAATAGGATAATATTGGCCTTTAAATAAAGATTATTTGAAAAATGGATTGGAAAGAAGTACTTACTGTATGGGTAACTTACTGAATGTCAAGTGTTTTCAATCAGTCACTTCTCAAATATAAGGTAATATAAATTAGGTATGAGTAGTTCTTTTTTTTTTTTTTTTTTCCCCCAGCTATGCTGTCAATGAGTTCAGAAATGGAGAAGTTTCTGATATGAGGAGAGGCTGATAAGGAATGGAGAACACAGATTGTTGTTGTTATAACTTCAGGTTTCTTTTCCTCTAGTCAGCTATGCAGAATATTAAACCTAGTTGCTTAGTCTTGCACAAAATACTTACATGAACAAAAGTAGCAAATGTACAGTGTTTAAAATAAATGAGTTGTCCTGGTGCATTTTTATTTTTTTTGGTAAAATGAGAGTTCTTACTTGGTCGTCTTACACATCGCATGACCAATTGCTAGTAATGTTTAGCTTGGGATGTGAAATGCTTTGGTTTAGCAGTTCTTACTGTGCAATTGATGTATTTACACTTCCTATGAGAGCAGATTTGTAGTAAGGCAGTAAATTCCACTGAGTAGGTCATATTTTATTATACTGTCTTCTCCTCATCCTCCTTGTGGGAGCTGGAATAGAACGGATTTCTGGGAAAACCTCAACATGAGAGAGAACCTGAAGGTAAAGCACAGGCACCACCTCAGTGTGCAAGCTATGCTAATGATCTTTATTGCTTATCAAGTGAAAACATGGGCTAAACTGTTCTTTTTTATTTTAAAAGCGTGATGAGAATTGTTGCTCCTATGTCAAAAACAAATAGTCTTTAACAGTTTGCCATGAACAAGGACCAAATTGTAATTTCTCAAGTGAGGAAAAAAAATCAAGAGACGATGGTCCAGAATACCCATAAAATCAAATAATGCAATTGGCCATATAACATATCAGAATAGAAGAACGAGTATATTAAACTCAAAAGTAAATTTGTTGTAAAAGATAAAATTTCATAATCTGTCCAGTGAGGAAGCATAGTAATAAGGATCAAAAGAACTTGAGAAGATACAAACTAACTGATGAGATTAAGGCCAACGCCATGGCAAAATGAGATTGTATATCCCAGACATCACCCGAAATGTAAGATTTGCTGGAATCATGGGCGTGTCCCTGATTTAGAAAGATAGCCCAAATACAGATGTCTGCTTAAAGCAGCTGTACATTTTATTTTCCGTTATTGTGCAAAATTGATAAATACTTGCACTGCTTTACGCTCTAGAAGAGCAAATCTTTTTAATTCTTTTTAAAATGCATTAGGTCTGCAAATTATGTTTTTGCATTTCTTCTTTTATTTTTAGTGTATTAATTGAATTAATATTTTTTAGGACGTATTGATGCTTTTACATCAAAGCTTGTTATGCTAGAAAAGATTTCTCCAGAAATTTTAAGAGAAAAACTTGGATTGATTAAGTGAGTATTTTTAGTAGGTTTTTTAGCAATGAATTTGAACCCTAACAAGCCTTACAAGTTACTACTTTTGTAACTTTTTGCTTTTTTTGCAGGCCTGCAAATTCATTAAATATACTTCACCACATTTTGAAGAAAGTGTCTGAGTAAGTGCTCCATTCTTGTTCATGGTATTTATTTGCGACATTACCCAGGTCATCCCGTTTCTTGGGTAGAATGTTTGTCTAATCCTTTGATTTTTATTTCTTTAGATACATGAAATATTTTATGGATTCTTTTAGGTCTAGCATAGCATAATGCTGTACTATGTAAAACTGTGCTTAGGGTTACAGGTTTTGTGTAAATGATGCAAAAGAATAAGAACTTGATTTTTATGAACTACTTGAGACTGGACACTTCTGAGCTGGTTACAGCTCACTGCTGTGAAATGTTTTATGTTATGTATGTAGGCTGACATTTAAAATATGGATTTCTGGTTTTGTTAGTCTTTTTGCTTAATCTGTAGAAATAATACTGTTTGTGTTCCTTTCTGCTTAGCTTGACTTAGAACAGCATATGTCTTTCTCTGTACAGTGTTGCAACCTTTTTCTCACTCTTTCCTTTTCTTTGTTTATTTAGCTTCTTCAAGGCTTTCAGTCTGCAAGTGTCTTCATTTTTTTCTGAAGCAGGTTTCTTGCACTGTGCATGAAGCCTCTTAATTCAAATTACAGGGGAGTTTTCCCACACCTCATAATTTCTGTAGCTTCGTGATTTGTGGCTAAGATTTTTGATATGGGCGGTTGGTTGACATTTATCTTCCTGAAAACCTGTTTAATCCTGCATGTATTTAAAGCACATCTGTTCTTTGTGTCTGTGTCTGTATATGCATTATGCTTTGTAAGGCACTGGTTAAAGAATTATAGTTTGTCAAATATGGATGGCTTTCAGTGTATGATTAAATGTTTTGTTGAATATGATGACAGTCTGTACACTGATAAATTAGTACATTATGAATACATTACAAATACATGAATTAGTATGTATTTATCAATACAGTGTAATTCATCCTTTTTTGTCCATAGTCTTTTTATAAAACAGGGACTGATAAGTAAATATCTAAAGAAATTTTGCTTTTACATTAAGAATTTTAGTAGCTATCCTGATCAAATGAAACAAAAAACCCTATTTAAATAATATTTTTCATTTTGAACTTTATCTTTTTAGTTTGCAGGAGGGCTTTTATTTACTGACTCATGCTGCAGGAGATTCATCAGTTGCAATCTACAAGAGTTCTCTTGACAAGACAACAAGAGCATCATATAACTTGCATAAAGCTCATTGTGATCTGCCTACTGTACCTGCCACTCTTTCAGTCCCGTGGGTGCCACTAGATCCCAGCATCCCTTTGCCCTATCACATGAATCATGGAAGAGTTCCGTGCACCTTTCCACCTGCACCCCAGGAAACCATGTGGAAACAGAAGGTCAGTATCACACTTGATGGAAAAGCAGATTAGCAGTTTTGAAATAATCTGTTTCAGTTCCTTGGATATATAACTTACATGTTTATCTGTCATCTTTGGGGGTCAGAGAGACCACTTAAAGTTCTGGATCTGCTACCAAGAATAGGAATGCCTTTTTCCTGAAAAATATTTCAGGTGAGATTCATCTTGCCTAACTTCAAACATTCCCAAGTATGGGAAAACAACATATAAGCTCGTCGTGCTGTTAACAGAGGGAAATGGAATATTTTGTAAGATGCATCTCCTCACCAGGACAGGTCTCTTAAATAGATTGTAGGGCTCATGCTGTAGAGTTGTCATTTTCTCTCTAATGACTACAGGAGTAAAGATGATTACCACAACTGTAGACAGGTAAAATCAGGTAAGGTGAATTCTGCTGTCAGGGTCTATGCCCCTGAGTTCTTACTGCAGTTCTCTGTGATACATTGTGGTGTTTGGGGGTTTTTTAAATACACTTTTTTCCCTGTTTGATGGCAAAATTCAAAGTGAAACTTTGCGTCTTTAGCATAAGCTAATAATTTGGAGGGCAAAAAGAATGTAGCATTTGGCTTAATTAAAAGCTTTGTAATTTATAGGCTTGCAGTAGGGCTGAAACAGATACAATATCTGCATTTATGAGGATTGTGTAATTTTGTGTCTCTGGTGCTTTTTGTTGATGTACTTTTTCTTCAAAAATTCAAGAAGGACCTTTTAACCTGGTTTCCTGGTTTTTTCAATGCCACCTTCATCTCCATTTGTCCCTCTGTCAAAATCTTAAACTTGTTGGGCTATTTCAGCAGAAACTGACATGTCTTGGAGGCCTAAGATACTAAATTCTACCCAGCTTAGTGAAAATAAGTAGCCAGGTAGAGGAGAGGGATCCAGATTAGTGCCGCTTCTGTGGAGACAGCAATGAACGCTCAGCTGTAATACTTGATAGCCGAAATCTCATGCAGACAAGAGAAGTTGTAAGCAAATCAGCCACACACAAAAAAAATTGTCAGAGCTTTCACATTACTAGGTGTGGGATAATAGTATGGCAAGACAGAAAACCAAACCACATTACCCTTTACTGAAAGTTTAAGTACTTTCCTCAGGGTCCTCATGCTGCTCTTTGAAATCTTTCATGTCTTAATTTATTGATTCCTCATTTCAGTGGCTAGGGGCTGGATTTGGTCTTGGATTTGTAAACCAATTCTTGGTTGTCTGTAAA